GACTTAAAGCCTCACCTCACATTTTTGGTATGGCAAACTACAATTGAGGAAATACATAAAACTTATGTGTAACAGTCATTCAATCTCATACTAACAGCTGGACAACTTTTTAATTAAGTCACTTTTCCTTACATGGGAAAGTTCTTATCTACAGAATGATAGGATGGCCCAAATGAAAACCCAAGGGACGTATAAATAATAATTCCCTATATTTTTATGGAATTGTGAAGTAATCCTCCTGAAACATTCAAAGATTAGAAGCTTCAGTGCGAGAGTTCTAAACATAGTTTTTAGAGCCACAGATTTTAACTGGTTTTGAGAGCTTGGAGAGGTCCCAAAGAGCAATAAAAATGAAAGATGAGTTAGAAAACCTGTCCTTATGAGGGAAAGACTGAAAAACAGCCTTGTGTGAGATGCTAAAGGAAGTTTACCCTTTATGAGGAAATGGCTGGTACTGAGTCCCATGGCCCGTGCTTGATGATAGAAGGCAACACATCTCAGCTCCTTGATCAAGGCAAGAGAAAAGTGCAGTTTTTCCTTGTGCCATGTGTCTCTCCAGCAGGATCCAGAAGGCAAGACTGGACCCACATTCTTTCACCATTGTAATCTGAGAGCCTAGCAGAGTCCACAGTGAACTCAATAAATGCTTTTTGAATAAAAGAATGAGCTCCACGCTACCTCGTTTTCATTACAGTGACTTATTGAATGCTACCTTTTATTCACCTGTTAACAGAACAGAAACATTTCAGGAACCTTACTTATGTAGTAAGCTACTGCTTTTACTTGTAATTGCTACAAGCTTTTAGTTGAAAAAACAAAACTTAATGACAAAAGTTTTAAATGATAATGTCTAATGCTACCGAAGATACTGGGTATTATACAGAAGGATAAAACAATGATGAAACATAATTAAAAGTATATATCAAGATCTCTAAAAATGAACTAGTAATTCCACTGAGAAAAATCAATCTTATGGAAATAATTCTAAACACAGAGAAAAATAACCTTCCTGGATGTTGTGATGTCATTTACAATGATAAAATCTGGAAGTAACATAAAGGTCCATGTAGAAAAGACATGAGCATAGGGTGAATCATTCAACACTAGCACAGACAAGGTATAAATCATGCTTTAATATACAAAACAGCTTTCCCCATACTTAGGATTGTTTCTAAGGGAACTGTTAAGGTTCAGGGAACTCAAATAACTCCTAAAAAAAAAAAAAAAAAAAAAAAAAAAAAAAAAAAAAAAAAAAAAAAACTACTCATCTTCCAAATATATAATTTGGGGTTTCCTCCTTGTGGAGGATTATTATGTTTATAAAAACATAAAATGAAAATGAGAAAAGCTCCTATGAGCTCTTTTTTTTTTCCACGTAAAGCTGTGAAAAGAAATAGCCCTTGTTTCCAGAGAGTAATCATCAATTTAATGAAACAGAGAGAGAGAAGATTCCTCTTCACTGGAGATTTATTTCTTTGTAACGAAAGCAAAGGGGACCATACATGTCGATTATGCCACTGTGTCTAGCCACAGTATTCAAACTCATAAAAACTTATTAATCTGTGTTGATTATTGTTTTTCACACATAGCCTCATGTACCCTCATTCTTAGGAACTGGTTCAGTGGCTAAAGATACCAGCTCATAGGAATCATTCCAAATAAGAGAGACAACAGACTGGAAACATGCATCAGCACTCCTCTCTCGCCTCTTTCACTAATGGGTCATAGCATTCTAATTGGCTGAATCTAATAATGGCCTCAGAATCCTTCTCAACACAGTATTCCAAATAGCCACTAGCTATCAATCATGGAACCTCAGAGATAAGGCTTTTTACCATCCTTGAAATCAACAAATCAGGGTAATTCACTTCCCTCCCTGTACATTTGAAATCAGATGATTTCCTCATTGGCCAGTCAAAATAAGAGAGTGTTGCCCCTTCAGAATCAACAGTATGTGGGAATTCAACATTTATGAACCCTTCTAAAATATTCAACTGCTAAGACATTTTTATTTAGTTATTTGGGACATTTTTATTTAAAACATGTTTCTATAGAAACAACTAATGAAAGAACTGTATTATACCAAGAAAATAAGGTGCTCTGTAGTATATGCATGTTTTGTATATGTTTTCTCTCAAAATTTCACCATTTTGCCCTTATAATTGCCAAAACACAATTTAAAGATAATCAGAGTATGATCACCTGGGATATATAACTCTCAATATGTACAGAAATAATGAATTATTTCTTTTGCACAACCAAGGGTACTTGTTGTAGATACAAGAACCCAAGGAAATGAATCTTTTAAAGCCCACAAATACTTTCATTTTCTATCCCAAGGAACACTGAGGAAATGGACACAAATTTAAAATAAAAGCAAATACATAAAGTCCCTCAAAGTTCCTTGAGCATGTATCACCATTAAGTGTACAATGTTTATTCGAAGGGCCCCTGCAAAAGTAGCCCTTGGGATTCCCGCATTAAGCCAGGCTCAAGGCACTGAGGGTGCCCAGTAAGTATCTGACCAACACATTCTTTCAGTCTCTCCCCTCATGAATCTCACCTGGAAGATGACAGAACTATAAAAATAATCTCAGGTACAGAGAGAATCCTCGTTTTCCACATAAAATAGCATCTGCCTTTTCCTATGCTGATTCTGCAAGGCAGCTTATTTACAAATACATAAATAGCTGCAACTTTACTCCAGTCTTATTGAAAAATCAAAATGGCATCATGCAAGAGAAGCATCCTAGCATACTTGGCTCAATGAGTGAAATGTAAATGGAGATGAGCCAAGCTACTTGACACTTGCTAGTCAGCTTAAGCAGATACCCTCCAGTTTCCTGTAGTGGAGGTCCCAGGGTTCTGCCTGTAGAGCCAGGGAATTTACTTACATTGATAGCCCAGGGATCACACAATGATTTAGAGCTAAAGGTTGGAAAATAAATGTCAAGTTGTGGCTATATCTATTATCACACATATCAAAGGGGAATAGCATTGCCTAAATATGGCAGGAAATTTTCCACGTAACTACTTAAAATCAGCTACATCTTCTTATACACAGTTACAATGAATTTTAAAAAGTTTTCACTCTAATCCTTTAGCCACCTGGGCAGAATTAGAGGAATTTAAATTGTCAGGAAGAAGGCAGGAGAGAAAATGCACTTTAATTTTTATAACAGAATTTATTGCCTTTCTTAAATTCTTTAATTAAGGTTATCTACTACTAGTTTAAAATCATATATATATTCATATATATGTTACATATTGACTTTATGTATCATATACATATGTGTGTACATATATATATATATATATATATTCATATATACGTTACATATTGACTTTATGTATCATAAAGTCATGTATCATATACATGTGTGTGTATATATATACATATACACATTCATATATATGTTACATATTGACTTTTCTTTACTGGATATGAATACCTAAACATGGGACTGCTGTTCTCTGAGTGTTTAATGCCTGTATGTGAAGCCACCTAAAAGTCACCCATAACAGTACAGTCATATCTTCTGAAGTGCCCTGCCTGACGATCACCCATTATATCCCCCAATATCAGATCACTCTTTTCCTTAGCACTCTTATTTCTTACCAATTAATGAGCAGTTTAATTTTAAGGAACCATATCATTAAATTAAAATCATCTTAAGAATCACAAAATAGAAGGTTTTAACTTTTCTCAAGGAAAAAGTTAGCTAGGGACCTAGTTTAGACAGAGAATCTGAAGATAGGCTACAAGATAATTAATGCTATCTCCCTTTGAGAATCCAAATGCTAAGATTCTCAACAACCTTTTCTGGTAATTTAAATGTTAGGCTACTCATCAAGAAGTGAAAATATCTATATATGTTTTCACACAAAAACATCTGTGTTGTATATTAAACCAGAGTTTTAATGCTTATTTCACTGCAGTGCATTCATAAACTGGAATGTTCATCTTGGACTCAAAGACTAAATATCATGATCATATATGCTATATCTGCCTTACTGACGACTCAAGCTTTTTGAATTACTATGTGTCCATCCTCCAACTGTATGCAGACCATATGGGGAACTTTTATTGCCCTGTATAGTTGCTGAACAACTGTCAGTATTTAAATGGTACATAATACCTTTTTTTTTTTTTTTT